TGAAGCGTTGGGTTTATTTCATGGACTAGGAAGAGTGTTAAACCCTAAACGAAGAAATGAAGGTATAGTAGTATAAAATTGCATAATCTATATGTATGATGTATAACATAATAGTACGACAATCCAATGTATGAGTAAAAGCGTCGGGACTTATATTAATTTTCATTTTCAAACAGTCTTTGTAGCACTACAGATTTAATATTCAAAGTTCTTCTGTAGTTTATTTAAACCTCTTGTTTGTCTTCCATCTTGTCATAATATCTTTAATGAGATTCTTGTCTTTTTAGGTATTGCTTGGAAGCTAGACTGTGACCTACAAAAGCTGGTAGACGAATTTAGTATACAACCTGCTAAATTCACGTCCTTTTTGTTTGAAAACTACTTAAAATACTTTGGTGCTTTGGGTGATGCTCAAAAAACAGCCGATATTTTAAGCTTTTCATTGGGTCTTTTAGAAAACTGGGAAAACCATGAACTCCTACTGATGGCTCTTTGGACAGCAGTTTCAGGTGTTATGATATTCAATGAACATAAAGTTAGTAAATGGAATCAAATTAAAGCACCTAGAAAAATTGAAAGAAGAATAAAAAGGTAATTTGTTTTGTTCAATTCCTATACAATTAAATAGAAAATCGTAAAAAAAATATTTTGCATTTAGTACCTAATTTAGAAAGAGCATTATAAAGGGTAAAATAATTGTAGTTTTAAATCTATTTGTTTCATCTTGTTGCTAGTATTTTAGCTTGTGTAGGAACATCGTAAAATTGAATTCACATGAGTTTCAATTTTTCAGATCTTTTTAGTTTTAATACCTCGGTAAATCGTAAATCGGTGATTCTTGTCAACAGGAACTAATTGTTTGTTACTTTATTGCTTTTAGTATTGAAGAGGGTCCTAGACTGCATCCCACTGATGGCTTCTATTACAACATACTAACGAAATCAAGTAAATACCCCGTGTTTAAGTAAAACTGTAATTATTAATATATATTTATAAGAATAAATCTTATCAAATACAAACGCCAAAAAAATTAATTGATTTTTGCAATCTCATAAATATGGCATTACTTTCTGATCATTTGTTTATGAGAAACCGTATGAAACGTGAGTGACGAAATAAAAACCTTAGTTAACTTAAATTAATTTTATTACATAGTTAAATGCATGTTTTCATTATCCAAAAGCCGTGCCTAACCTAATATTGATTTTCTATTTTGCTTTATTTTTATTTTACTTAAGCAAATAACATTGCAGCATAACTTTTTTATTAAAGAAAACAAACGGAATGCAATAACAAATATACAGTTTTCTAATCTATAACATTAGTTATTATTCATAAAGTTTTGGTATTTAAACCAAATAGAGTTTTCTTTTTAATATACAATTAAAGATCAACATTTATTAAGAAGTACATATCTTCTAATTACCATAAGTCAATTACAATGTTTTCATTGTTTTGTCATTTCTTGTTCGTGATTTTGAGACTGACTTTATCAACATTACATTTTTGGAGTAAAATGTTTCATAATCTTAAAATTCATGCCATAGATAATTCAGAACTGCCTGATTTTAAAATCATCAAATGATTAATCTGCGGAGTGTCAATTCGGAAATGGTAGATTTCAAAAGATCGAAAGCAGTTATACAGCTCTGATATCCATTAGATTAAATACCAAAAGAATATAAACTAACATCATCCTCGAGTATTAATGTATACTGTATGTAGAATAATATTCATAAGAATACTTGTGTCACATTACCCTATAATAAAACATTATTTTTGGTAGGTAAGTATGCATAAACATATAGCGCTAAATATGTGAGATAAATTCTAATTCCCTTACTGCTCTTTCTTATTGTTTGTCATTGCTTGGTTATAGCTTGGCGGATTTTCCTGAAACAACAAATGATGTAAGTCTTTTGCTAGCACTTTTTTTTCCTAACAATCTAAGCTTCTTAAAAGTTCAAAAACTGACCTTTATAGGAGAGAATATTCAATGTTACATAAATAAATATAGAACATATACTTACATAATATGCTGGAGGTGGTACATATGCCATTTGGGGCCGGTTCGGATCATAATAAGCAGACTGGGCAGCTTCAGCCGCTTTGGCGTCTTAAACAAAAATTATTTTAGGTTTTGAACGAAAGCATAACTTCATTGTAAATAAACTGTTAAGCAATAGTTTGACCGCTTCCAATATTATCATTTCAATTCAGACCTTACATTAATAAGGTTCAAAAAAAAGGTTTTACATAGTAATCATTGAAACAAACCCTAGTCATTAGTACCTCAATCACACTCACACTCACACTCACATGTTGAGCTGGAAATTCGCTGGTTCTCATACGTTCCAACAACCGAAAATTACATTATTTATTGATATTGGAAGCATGAATCGTCACTTATGCAACATGCCTACTTATTTAATTACTGATAAACCGTAGATTCAGCGCTATCTCTGATCACGCTTTGAACTTTAATAACATTACCTGCTGCATTTGTAAATCGAGCGCTAGGGGCTCCTGGCGGGTAACCGCCTGCGCCTCCTTGAGGAGGTCCATACCCACCAGCCACTCCTTGAGGAGGACCATAACCACCAGCTGCTCCTTGAGGGGGACCATAGCCACCCGCTGCTCCTGGAGGAGGTCCATAACCGCCTGGTGCTCCATATCCTTGACCTGGGCCATAACCGTTTGGTTGTCCGCCTGGGTATATTCCGGGGTATGGTGGTGGGACGTCAGTCATAAACACGGCATCAGTTGGGGGATGTTGTGGAAATACATTGGTGGGGGGCACCCATCCATAGTAACCTATAGAAATAAGGACATTTAGAAACGAATCAATTATCAATCACCTTAGAGTTACCTTGTGGGGGAGGCGCATAGGCTGGGGGAGGAGCAGCATACCATTGTGGCTGTGGGGGCTCATACGGTGGCGGCTCATTATTCATTGCTCCTCGTGTTGCTGAAAACGTATGGAGCAATATAAAAATATATATCCATTCCATTATATCAAAGATATTCATATTAAATTAATTTATCGGAATTAAAATATTAATTGAAGTCAAAATTTGTTACAAGAAATTGCATTTATTAGTTCATATAGAAAATGTTATTCGGCGTACACCTGACGAATCAACCAACTTTCTTTGATGAAATACACTGCATCACTTTTCGGAGAAAGTGAGTAAACACAATTGATATCCAATTATTCATTAGGTACGTTTAAATAATGAAAAAATCCGAATTCGTTATAGAATTAATCTGTAAAATAATCAGTAGAAATGTTTTTAGAAATTAACTAATTCTTTAAGATGTACCCTCCAGGGATATAAAGTTTTTTTTGAATACATATTTTACACTCCTGATGTTAAGTAATTATTAGTAATAGCTAAATAGTACCGCTAAGTTGCAATTGGAAATTTAAATTTTGACTATTACAACACCAAAAAGAATAGGTAATAATCTTGGGATAATATAAAGCTTTTCGTCGTAAAGTCGGAAATTGTAGATCATGATATGTTAAAAACAAAAAAAAATTAATCACTTACCATATTGTGCAACTCTTAATAAAGCCTGTCCAAATTCAATAGCTCCACCATGTTTGAATGTAATCTTGAATTTTGCTTCTCCTACCCAGTTGCCATTAGGTTGTGCTCTTACTTTCCCTTTTATGTAATTTGCCCCAAAAACTGGTTGTTCAATCTCAACCTAAGAAACACAATTGTGACGATATTTGAACACTTCAAAAGGATAAAGACGTACCTCACTAAGGGTAATGAAAGGGAAGCTAAAGCTCTGCATTTCATCTGATTGGGAACTACTGTTGAAGATAATTCGGTGTGTAGTAAGGAAAATTCTTCCGCTTTTCTTGCTTTTGAAAGCACTAGCATCTTGTCCGGACCATTCAACGTGTACATTGTCGGAGAAAAGTATGATTCTAGAAAGTGCCGTAATTAGTGCAAAATGATGCAAATGGGTATGACTAAAAATACTAATTTGGGTGATCAATGTCAAGTAATCCAAAACAAATATATATAGACCAATATTAAACATTATACATACTGTTCGCCAGAGTGAATCAATACTCCTCCGTTTATGTGTGCCGTGTTTAACGACATTGTAGCTATTAGTGGGAAACTTTCTTGCACAGAAATTTATTTCGCACAATGAACGATTAATAAATTAAAAAGTATCTTTGCTATTGTATTGACGGCGAAATAATGTCAGACTAACGTCAAAAGTGACACTATAATTTAGGTGGTAACTCTGCAATTCCACATAAAATAAAGACTGCGCAGTTTAGGCAACTCTCTTTAATATAGAGATAACAAAAGACATCAAAATTATTATTTCTTAATTCGAAAAAAATGTTTTACTAATTACTCTTTAAGTAGTAATTTGACACTTGTTTTGTTGACATTAGTGTCACATTGATGTTTACGTCATATTGTGATTTGTTTTCTTTTGTTTTTATCAACTTTTGCAAGCGTAAAGAAATAGAAACAAATCGAAAAGTGTATAACTATTGTTTTATTTTATGAATCTCATCAACTCCAATAAATAAACAAGTCTGACAAGTCTCAACTGTCACTCGATAACGAGTAATTTAACGCCACCATCGGTGGCAGTTGAACTCGCGGGTTGCAAAATTCAGGCGCCAACCTTGAATATACGCTAGTAGGGACGCAACCCTGAATACACAGTAGTAGGGATGCAAACACGAAAATAAAAAATAACTCCAACCACCATAGTAGAAATTTGGGTACCGAAATGTTAGATCGTGGTGTGAAAGTTGTTTCCACGTTGTTTCCACCGTTTCCACATTCCACAGCAAGGGAGTGGGCTATCTTTACTTGTCTTTATCTATGTATTTATCTATGGCCTTGATCGTCTTTACCTATGAAATGACATATAAATTGTTATTTAACGGTGAAACTAACCTAAGTAATATTTAAGAAAATAATGTAGAATTTGGAGATCGGGTGATACTAAAGCAGAATGAACTTTGCTCAAGATTTTAAATAGATATTGATAAATATAGGAGCGCATTTACCATAACAATAAATTCGCGAATCGCTTATTTTTGTACGGGCCATATTATTGTGTTATTCTGTGATTATTCTCTGTAAGCATTGCATGAAAAACAGCGCGTGTGAATTTTTAAACACTTGTAATCTTGTTTTTTTTTCTCTTAAGTAATTATTTCTTTAAAATTGAATGAAATGATTTCATATTTGGAACAAAATCCATGCCCCCAATAAAGCGATATTTAAATAAAATGAAGACGGCAAGTGAAAGTTGCTATTTACAATTGGTTGGTGATTTGAATGAATAAAAGAAAATTGAAACCCTGTTGCGAAAATTCCTTACGTTTGAAAATAAAGAGCTTAGAAAATGTCGAGCTTGAAAAGTGAAACTGGGAAGCAGGAATTGCAAGTGTTACTAGTTTTAAAAAACTTGGGATGTGGAGGTAAGTGTGTGAGAATGTTTAAAGCAATTATATTTATAACTTTCACATTGTACCTAGACATTTTCCATTTTACACCACAATGATTGGATGAAATGTTGTTTTTTTTCCTGGAATTGTCATTTATACTTAATTTTTATTTAGTTAATGTGTCTTGAAAAATGAGGGTACATTTTTTATAAATCCGATATAATCAATTATGATTATTATTAAGGAAGGTACTAGAATTTGATAACTAATATAAAATATTAGTTATTAACTACTATTACTAGCAGCACGAATTAAGAAATGCAATCAATTATTGCTGTGATTAAAAGAACAAATATAAATAATAATACACATTTATTTATAAAATCAGCTATAAAATAAAAGTAGTAGTATTCAGGCTATCCCATAAGCCATCATCAAAATGGTACTGCGACACTCGTTGGCTCAAAAGAAGATGAGCTGGCCTAACTTTTATTAAGGAAAATATCGGGCTTCTCGTATTTGATGGTCAAACTTGATGAAAACAGTTAGCTTCTTTGTAGTATTGAGAGAAATTTGCAATGGTTTTT